AATTTCAAGGAGTTTCTGAAGTATGTATAATTCCTGAATTTTATATCATGGAATTTTATGTTATTATATAATATTAAGTTTAATTTATTCATCAGAAAATGCACATCATCCAGGTGTATTTCTCAGGTCACATGATAATGTTATGCATCATTGTCAATGGCATTTCAGGCAGCTGATCATTTCCAGATGCCATGCATCATGGTACACAACTGTAATCTCAGTACTTGGAAGGATAAGGCAGGAGGAAAGCCACCAAGGGCTGCATAGTGAATGCCAGGCCATCTAGTCTGCATGACAAAACTGTCTCAAAATAAAGTCAATACTATTGTTCCTGATTTTTCCATGTTAAAAACTTCTCATATTACTTTTCAAAACTTAAGCATCAGGAGCTAGGGTTGACGCTCAGTGGCAGAGTGTGCAAACCTGGTGTACACTAGTTCCTGTGATCAATCCCCAGCATGCACTCTCCCTTCTAAACAAACAAGCAAACAAATAACCTTAAACAGCAAAGTAAGAGCTTGCATTGATCATAATTGGCTTCCAGAGGAACCTACACAACTACAGCAACACTACATTTTATCTCAATTTAAGATGGGATGTGGCTCAGGGGAAACTGCTTCCACAGGCATGAGCCATGGGCTCAGTCCTCAGCACCACATCAGCCTGTCATTCCAGAACTAGGGAGGTAGAGGTAGGAGGATCAGAAGTTCAAGGTCATTCTTGGCTAAATAGTGAGTTCAAGGCCAGCCTGGGCAACATGAAGTCCTGACTTTAAAAATATCATTTGTACATCAGCTGCTGTTGGAATCAGAATGCTTTGTATAATTTTGCTGAAGTAAAACTTTTTAAAAGATTGCATATTTTGCTCATGTATGTAGTTAACATGGACATAATTCACATGGATCCTATGAATGTCCATGTCACGCTTTTTTCAAAACTAACATGTCTAATGTCTTCACTGTAGGAAAAGAAGAGAAGGCGGCTGGAACGTTTCCGACTCCTGTGACTCATTCCTGCATCTTCTCTCCAGGTTTTCTATGTCAAAAGTCAATAGAAGACCCAAATTAAATATTTCGTCTTTGGTTTATCATCAGTTCTTTAATCTTTTCATGGATATTGGTTTGTACTTATAATGTCACTGCTATAATTTATAAATAAAAATAGTCATCATACTTATTATCTACTGGAACAGAATGGAGTTGCTTTTTTTGCTCAGAACATTTTAACATGATTAAGATATTATGTGTAGCAGTGTTTTTAAAACACTTACATAAATTACATGTATGATGCCCACAATATGTGGTTATTTGTCATGCTTAAGGTAAGTGATTGTTGATAACTTATTATTAAATATTGAATTTCCTCATGGTATCCTTGGTTTAAATATGTATGGCTGGAGATTAACTGAAGTATTATTTCAAAATAAATTACAAGCTCAAACTTTATACATATTTTTAGTTTAAGCATGGTGAAGTTGATACAGTTCTTCCTTCATAATTTTGATACTTTCTGCAGTGAATATGATATATAACATTTGCTAAAGATACCATTTTTTATGAAAAACATCTGGGGTAATTATAATTAGTTCAGGATCTGTATTGTTTGTTTTAAAAGCTGTTGAATTCACAGAGAAAGAAGCATCTCTTACTTAATGACTAGAATAATTAAAATTAATATGGAAACCCTTTATGGTATTGGTAATGTGGCTCACAGGATAATTTTAGAGTATTCCAAAAGGAAATGAGGGGTAACTTGTGCGTAAAGTGCCAGACCGGGACATTACACCTGTTAGTGTGCATCGTTTGGAACAGCTGTGTCTTTTATTGTCAGTAAACAGATGCAGAACATACTGGAATGTTTTAAAGCAATATGTTAATCCCGCCTTCCCCTGCTGACCGTCTCACAGTGTAGTGATTAAATATTGGCTGTGCAGCTGTTACTACAATTATAGCATTGCTTAGTTAATTTCTTCTTCCCAGGACCAAGTGTTTTAGAATTTGAGGAAATAGTATTTAACCTTAAAGTGTTTTATAATGTAGTTTATTTATTCAAATTGATTTCTAAAGATAAGTTACTTGACTATTATGAAGAATTCATGCATGTGAAATTCTTATCAATGTGTTTGTAAATTAGTGTTCTTGGACAAACAATTTTTAATGTGCTTTTTAACTTTTATTAATTTGTTCATGAATATAAAATGAGTTTAAATATAGTAACAAGAATTTTATTCTTGAAAATTTCCATCAAGGAGCTGAATAAAAAATGAGTCTCATTAAGTATTTTTTAACCAAAGTGTATAACATTTCCTTCTAACAGTGGCTTCACTCAGGCAGTACACCATGCAACTTTTTGAATTTATTATGACCTCCTTGTAATTTAATTATGCTTTAATTCTTATCATTTCACCTTGTCAGAGAATACATTTAAAAAATTATGTAATTATCCAGTTTACATACAACTTTAAAGATCAATTATATTAGCTGAAATTATTAATACTTGAATTTTTTAATATCTGAGATTTATTTCGTAAAACATGTTAATTACATCGTTATATTCTTGGCCTCATTTTATAGTTGAGGAATTTCAAGCCTAGAGGCATGAAGTAAGTTGACCAACATCTTCTATCTAGGAAGTAGTGAGGCTTGGCTCTAACCAAGGCATTTCACCGATAGACTTGTTTTCTTAACAACTTTGCATTGTGTCTGCCTTTCCATCTATCAGCATGATGCAGAATGGGCAGTGTCCTGGTTTTAGCCACTCTGTGCATCCTAGCACGATTATTACATTGTTTAGACAACATTGTCTAAAAATAAAGTACATGGCACAGTAAGACCTCCAGCGCTTGGTCTCTCAGCTCAGGAGTGCGTAGCTACAGCACAGAGACCCTTAGCGCAAATACGTGGAATGACCTGCAGAGGCTCTTCCCTTGACTCTGATGGCACCTTTGTGGAGGTGCCCCATGATACTGCTATCCTTTGGCCTCAAAACAAGCTTTCTTTAGAGCAATATAATGCTGTTTTACTGTGCCCCACTATTTTACTTATACCTTCACTTAGAAATATTAGTTATTATTGAAATTTGTCTTGTGAAATGGTTGTCTTTCATCGAGCATTAATGCTAACTGCATCTATATTCCTTTTCTTATGTGTGAAATAAGAAAAGAACTGTGACTCAGATATACCAAGTCAATTGAAGATACTCCTGCTGCATAAAGTTTATGTGCGCTTGATTTTTTTCTTCAAAAAGCAAAAGCAAACAAGCAAAAACCCAAAGCAAAAGCCTAAAACTGACTAGCTAATCATTCTTGTGGGTGCTTACCGCCCTTAGTTTCCTTGACGCTGATGAGAATGCTTCTAGGATTAACTGGGATCAACGATGCCATGAAGCACTGCTGGAGGAAATTTAATACAAGTCCATTATGAGATACTTCTTTGGAGGTAAAATGTTCTTACATGCAAGCTATATGAAATATCAGATGGATAGAAAACATCTTATATGCATGAAATATTGAGAAAATTTTAAAATATTATTCGATTTTAAAATGAAAACAGTTCCATAATGTTTTTGCTAAAGTTAATCAGCAATCTTATAGTTCTTCAGCATTACTGGTTTTTTTTTAAATTGTGTTATATGTGTGCATATTTGTGTGCACGTGCTTGTGTGTGTTGCAGGGGTGTGTACTTGTGTGCTTGTGTCTCTGGAAGCCAGATATCAGCACTGGGTATCTTCTGTCACTCTCCCATGATCCTGCTCTCCATTTCACTTACAAAATGATGGACTTAATATTCAGACATGTATATAATGTTTTTTGATCAAGTGCATCCCCATTCCTTCCCTTCCAGTTTTACCCCACCCCCTTGCGTTCCCATCTCAACCGCGTGTGTGTGTGTGTGTGTGTGTGTGTGTGTGTGTGTGTGTGTGTGCTCTGCCTGCTCCTCGCTCCGTGTCTCTGTCTGTTTTTAAACCTGCTGAGTCCATATAGTGCTGCCCGATGTGCATGCACTGGGGCAAGGTAAGCCTCACAGGGTCTGCATCCCTGAATAAAACGACTGTCTCTCACTAGCAGCCAAAGGGTCCTCCCCAACCCCCGCCTAGGATTTTGGCTGGCCTAATCTGGAGAGAGGGTCTTGCCCTGAACCTGGAGCTCCCCAATTTGGCTAGACTGGCTGCCCAGCTCTCAGGGTCCCTCCTGTCTCAGCGCCCACCCCACCCCCCAGCACGGAGGGGAGGAGCACACCCCTCTGCTCCCAGGGACCCTCCTGTCTTAGCCCCCCCCCCCCAGCACGGAGGGGAGGAGCACACCAGGGACCGTCCTGTCTCAGTCTACCCAGCACTGACAAGCAATCTCCGCTGCTCCTGGCTTTTGCTTGGATGCTGGCAGCTCCACACAGGCCCTCAATGTTTGTGTGTCAGGCACTCTACCCACTGAGTCACCCCTCCAGTTCCTAAAATTACTATTTTTATCTGCCTGTTTTGTCTCTAATTTGGGGACTGCAGCCTTTTGATTTTTTTTCCTTTTGTTCCAATTTTGAGACAGAGTCTTGAATTTGCTGACCTGGAATTTTCAGTTATCCTGACTCAACTGTCTGAGTACTATATTATAGACATGTCACATTACACCCTCAAATTATTTTTATTAATTTCTACATCCAAACACACAGAATATAAAACAAACAATAAAATGCCTATTTTGTATTATGTACTACAAAATTTCCAGGAAAAAAAATAATTTTGCTTTTGTCTTTGTTTTATACTTTTGAAAAGTGAAGCTTTTTATTTTGAAACAATTTGGATGCACACCCAACCGTAAAGAATGCAGAGAAATGCCTTGTGCCTTTTACCCAGTCCCCTCGGTGGTGTACACATGTCGCTGTGGTGCTGTGTTGGAGCCGGGGTCAAACAGATGCAGAAGGGCATTGGCCCAAGATTGACTCCTCCATCCCTCCCTCCCTTTCTTTTTCCTGGCTGTGTGTGTGTGTGTGTGTGTGTGTGTGTGTGTGTGTGTGTGTGTGTGTGTGTGGTTGTCTCTCTTTCTTTTGTACTGTCTTTGTTTCAGTCCTATCCTCTCCTTTTCTGGGGAATAGTGTGTAGAATTCCTGTTAATCTTTTTCAATTCTTTGATAGAATTACACAAAGCTATCTATATTTTGTTTGGAATGATTTTGGTTTTCTTAATTACAGGACTGTTCAAATCACGTATCTCATATTGATTGAAATATGGTGTTGTGCACATCAGGATGCAGACACACTCGATGTCTGCAAGACTTGCAGTGACACCTGTATTCCACAGGCGACTTATGATTTCTCTACTTACTGGTTTTCCTTATCAATTTTGCTATAGATTTGTTCATTTCATTGATCTTTTGAAGCAACCAACTCTTACTTTTTCATTATTCTATATAGTTTTTTTTTCAATTTGATTTCTATTTTTGTCTTTGCTATATCTTCTTGCCTTGAACTTTTAAAAAAAATCCAGCATTTTCAGAGGGGAGCAAAGACTTTATAGTGTGAGACCCATTATTGGACTTCTTGAAGGTATATTTACCTCTTCTCAAGTGGACACATTTAACTATAGGGACTACTGTGTCAGCAATGGCCTAGCAATGCCTACCTATTTTAATGCATTATACTCTTATTTGGTTTAATGCATTTAAATGATTTATTTTTTGTTTGAGACTTTTCTTGTTATTTTTCTTTTTCCTAGTTTGGTTATATTATATCTGAATAAAACATTGTATATCAATTTAATTCTTTTAAATTTTGGAGAAATTTTTTACAGTCCAAGATAGGATCTGTTTTGACAGGGATTCTGTGACCACATGGATAGAGTATATATTCTATACAGGAAAGAATGTGCCCAATAAAGTCTTTTAGTCAACAACAAACCACACACTCAGTGCTGGTTCCTGCAAGATTGCATCATCTAGTGACATAGTAGGCATCTTAACCTGTGATGTTCATTCACAAAGCTACAAAATTGCAGAGCAAAGCATTTCTCAAAACAAATTCCCATCATTAGCATGACTGGGTTGATTAGATTCTGTTCATTCATTATGTTGTTCAGATACTACATAGCTGTGGGCTTTTTGTCTAGTTTTTCAATGGTTGAGAGTTTTGAAGTCTTTGATTGTGATTGTGTTGTCTTTTCCTTTTAGCTGTGAAAGTTTTTGCCTTAAATATATTGAAGCTCTGTTGCTACAGAGGCCTTTCACATTGTTGTGTGATCTTTGTGGGTTGACTTTTTAAATCATAATGTAATATCTTAGTTAGGGTTTCTATTGCTGGGACAAAACACCATGACCACAGCACTGTTATAAAGGAAAACATTTAATTGAGGTGGCGGTTTACAGCTTGAGAGGTTTAGTCTATTATCATCATGGTGGGGAGCATGGTAGCTGGGAGTGTGGCGGTGTGCTGGCAGACATGGTGCTGGAGAACTCTACATCCTGATCCCAAGGCAACAGGGAGTGAACTCTCTCACTGGGCGTGGCTTGAGCATATATGAGACCTCAAAGCCCCCTCCACAGTCACCCTTCCTCCAACAAGGCCACACCCACTCCAATAAGGCCACATCCTAACAGTACCACTCCCTTTGGGGGCGATTTTCTTTTAAACCACCACATGTAATGTCACTGTAGTTTAGATTTTGTTTGCTCTGAAGTTCTCATCCTAATGTAATCATGCCTGCCGTGTTTTTGCTTGTGTTGACATAACACCTTTATGTATCTTTTTGTTTTCAACAGGCCTATATCATTGTATTTTAGGCTGGGTTCCGGTAGGCAGCATACAATTGAATCATAATTTTGTTTCACTTTTTCTTTGAGCTGTGATATCCCTATGCTGCCTACATTGGTGTCTAACTCCGGAGACTGAGTGATCCTTCTGCCTCTGTCACTGGAGTACCTAGACCGCAGGTGTGTGCCACTCCACCTTGCTTTTATTACTTCTAAGTAGTATATAATTATATGTATTTGTGAGGTACAATTTGGTGTTCTCATATAAATATATATTGTGTCATGGCTGAATCAATGTAGTTAACATCCCCATTTCTTCAAACACAGTTCCTTGTGCTGGAACATGTAAAGCTATTTCTTCTAGCTACTTTGTTATATATTATGTTTCATTGTTAATAGTAGCAATTACTGCGGCCCAATGGCAGAACTCACCCTTTCTTGTTATTTGTAATTTTGTACCTTTCATGTTTCTCATCCATTTCTTCTCCATAGCTTCATGTTCTCTGGTAACCTCTGTTCATTTTGGTTTATATGAGACTGCTTTTTTAGATTCCTTGAGTATAGTGTTTGTCTCTCCATGCCTGCTTATTTCATTTAACATAGTGACTTCCAAGTTTATGCATGTTATTGCAGATTCTGGGTTCTATTTTTATAGCTGAATGATAATCATATTGTATATGTAAACGTCATTGTATTTATTCATTCATCTCATGATGGACACTAAGTTTGATTTGAATCTTAGTTATTTGTAATTATTGTTACTATAAACAATACAATGCAAATATTTTTATCATACTGCTCACATATTTCTTTTGGAAATATACTCAGTGGTAAAATTAATATATCACACCATAGTTACATTTTTTTTTATTTCTTGATGACTTTTTATACTATTTTTCCATATGGGCATCCTAATTTCCATTTTCACCAACAGTTTGTAAAGGTTCCCTTCTTTACATCCTTGTCAGCATTTGTTACTTCTGTCTTTTGATAGTGGTCATTTTAACTAGAATAAGGCAGTCATTTCAGTGTGGTTTTGATTTCCATTCTCTGATTAGGGATGTTGGAAATTTTAATATACTGATAGATGTTCTTATGCTCTTTCCTCTATTCATATTTTTTGCTTATTTTTAAGTCATGTTATTTAGGGTTTTGCTTTTGAACTGTTTGACTGATTGTTTTTTTCCTATACATATTAGTCAATTGTCAAATGTGTAAGTTGAAAATATAGATAGCATGCAGGAAGAAGACAAATTCATAGAAACAAACAAAGTTATGAAGAAATGTACATCTGTAAACATCTCTAATGAGCAAAGATAATTGATCTGAATCCTGTTCTAAAGAAAACTATGGCAGCTGATGACATGATGTTTACTGGCCCTGCCAAAGTTTCAGGTTTTAGAGTTTTGACACCAGAGAGACTCTATTAGGAGCAGGTTATATTTTGTCTGGTGTCTTTGGGGAATAGAGAGTATGTCGGGGGAAGGCCGACTTTTCCTCTTTGCTTCTGGACTTGCCCTTACACATATTCCCTTCCATTTCCACTCAGATCCCCTTTATAGGCCGACTCAATGTGTCTGCCCAAACGTTCACTGAAACTTCAAAACTAAGAGCCAATTTTTCTTTTTATAAGATGACTGTCCCAGGTAGTGCATTATCACGTCAGAAGGCTAATACACAGAAGGCTAATAAACAGCTTTGCCAATAAATTGTACCATACATTTAAATAATTCCCTTCAATCCTCAAATGTAAGACAGAAAAGAAAGAAATGCTTCTTCATGAATTTTTGGGTCGTCCTTGCACAGGGGCCATGCTAAACTTCTCTGTATGGTTCCAGTTTTAGCATATGTGCTACCAAAGTGAGCACAAGAAAGAAATGCTTCTAATGAAATATGGGCATCATTACCTTGATACCAAGGGCATCAAAATGTGTTTTTTAAAACACCACAGACAGTATGAATATATGCAAAATTCTCATTTACATACTAGAAAACCAGATCCAGTAGTCTGTTAGGAAGACGAAGCCCTGGGAATGTGGTTTGTTTAGTAGAGTGCTTGCCTACAAAGCCCTGGACTCAGTCCACAACACTGAATACATTTGACATGGTGGCACAAACCTATATTCTCAGAACTTGAGAGGTGGAGGCCAAAAGATCAGAAATTCAAGGTCATTTCCGTTACATAACTAATTCTAAAGCAGCTTGGAACTTGCCTCAAGGAAAGATCTTGAGATCTTGTCTGGGGGGGGGGAAAGGACAATGGCTAAACATTATTGGCAGGTGGAATTGAGCACAACAATGCGGTGATTTGACATAAAATGCAGTTGGGGAAAGGAGGGCCCGGGAGGTAGCTCAGTGGGTAAAGTGTTTGCTCCACAAGTGTGAAGATCTGAGCCTGGATCCTCACAGCCCACACAGAGCTACACGTGACGGCATACATTTGTTGCAGGGTATCTGATGACACTGTGAACCCTGAGATTGTATTATTTACTAGAAAACCTGTTTCTAGTTGTGGTGTGACTCAGTCCTAGCACACACCTTTAATCGAAGAGCTTTCTGCTTGAATATTGTAAACAGAAGTCAACCATAAGTCAAGAGCAAGTAACTAGTTAGCAGGAAAAAACCCAAAGAGAGTAAGAGGGAGTCAGGAGGATGGATAGAGAGATGCACAGGAAGTAGAAGGGAGGGACATTGATTCTGAGGAGTTTTGTTTGAGATGGATAGGAGAAAGGTCTTTTTTTTCTGGGACATTGGTAGAGGAGGAAGGTCAGCCAGTGCTTTCTCTGCCTCTCTGAGCTAGCAGGTTTTCACTCCAGCATCTGGCTCCCAAGTCTTTACTGGTAAAATCCAACAGTGGAGATTTAGTCAAAACCAACATACATTCTGTGCTCCCAGCACTCTGGTGGCAAGAAGTGTAGTAGTAGATGGTGTATATGTGCCTTTGGGTTGTTTCAGTGGAGGTACTCACTTGGTAACACACAGCAGAGAGCAGCCAGGACCTAGAATTGGTTTGAGGAAGAAGTACAAGACTGTTGCAATTAGAGTAGGTACCATGGATGAGTTGCATTGGTGGTATGCAGACACAGCATCTCCTCACTAATTAGCAGATACAAAAGATAAGCTGGAGAGCAAACAAGGGTTATATCATGCTCAGATCTTTATTTTTCTTTTTTATTTAGAAAAAAGCTTTCATACAATACATTTTGATTATACTTTCCCCATCTCAAGTCCCCCAGATCCTCTCTGTTCTGTTCTTTTTACTTCTCTAAAAATAAAAATAAAATAAATTTCATTAAATAAAAGTAAAAGTAAAAATAAATAAACAAAAAACTAATAAGACAAAACCTACCAAAACAAAACAAAAGCACACAAAAAACACAGAGTTCATTGTGTGTTGGTTAACTTCCTCTGTGCATGGGGCATGCCCAAGAGTGTGATTGATATACCCAGTGCCATGTCATTGGAGAAAACTGATTTTCCCTTTCCCAGGAGGTACCAATTGCAGGAGCAGGAGTTTTGTGTTCACTTCCTGTTCTCCATGCTGGGATTTTGTCTGGCTTGTGCAGATCTATTCATGCTGCCACAGGCTCTGTGAGTTCTTACGTGCACCAGTCATCTTGTGTCTGAAAGCTGCTTTTCCCTTGGAGTCATCCACTACCTCTAGACCCTTCAATCTTTCCATCACATCTTTTATATGAATCTGTGAACTTTGAGGGGAGAGGTCTGATAAAGAGATCACATTCAGGTCTGAGCACTCCATAATCTCTTACTGTCTGCACATTGTGAGTCTCTATGTTAATTATCATCTACTTCAAGAAGAAGCTTCTCTGATGATGGCTGAGCAATGTATTTATCTGTGGGTATGTGTCACTAAGAGTTATTTTATTGCTAAGTTAATTTAGGAAAATAATAGTGTAGGTTTTTCCCTAGGGCCCATGACCTATCTCGTCTCAGGTACTTGGATATTTCAGCACTGTCAGGTATGGGCTCCATCCCATGGGATGAGCATTAAATCCAACTTGTAAACGTGATTGGTTGCTCCCATGATGTGTGGGCCACCGCTGCACCAGTGCATCTTGCAAGCCAGTCACTGCTGTAGGTTGCGGGGTTTGTAGCTGAGTGAGTTGATTCTGATCACAAATGGTATTTCAAATTTTTCCTAATCACTAATATTTCTTTATAACACTCAGATCAACACTTAACTGCTCTTCCAAACTGCTCTTTCAATCTATGGCTGTGTAAGAGTGGCCAGAACAGATTTGCCCGTGTTCCCAGTGGAGATCAGGGGAAGCCACACCCTGCCTCCCATTTCAGCTTTTACACACATACCACCTTTTTGGCTTTTATTTGCCATGTTTTTTGTTTTCTTTATTTACTTTTTTAGTGGTCTTGCTCTTTTAAATTTAAAAAATAAAAATTATCCCTGTATTTCCTCTCAGAATATAACCAGGAAGACTGTGCACTAATTCCACATCCATGTGTCCTACAGAACGTAACTATTTCCAGTAACAAGAGACTTGAAAATAAATGTTAAAAGTTAAGAAGTGAATGATGCAGAGCATTCCAAAGATTTTGTAAACAGGATATAGACTGGAAAGCCAGGAAAATGTGCATCGTCAAGAAGGAAGGCATTGTCTCTGTTTTCAAACATTGGATTTGATGAAAACCACATTTTTTTACTTCATTCTGAGCATAGTTTTAGGAAATTATGATGGAAAATTGATTTATACTGAATTAAGTAGTTTTTTAACTAAGAAAATTCTGATTCAAAATAGATTTCAAAAATATTAAACAATAAATTCTATTAAAGAATAAACAGATTGTTCTTTCCCAAATTTTGTGTTAAAGTTTTGTTGGTGGTATTATTCTTTAGGAAGAGTCTCATGATGTGGTTCAGGTTGCCCTCAAACTCAAAATCCTCCCACTTTAACATGTACCACCCAGAAAGGTTAAACAATCTCATTCATCATTGGCGCTTAATTGATCATATAAATGAAAAATATTTGGTATGTTTTTCTTGATTTTTTTTCTAGGAATGAGTCCACTAAAGATCATTCTCTGTGGGGCTTTCGATTTTACTCTAATGATGATGGTTTAACATCTTTAATCCTTAGGGGAAAAGAGAGAAAGCAACTGTTTTTAATGCTTTTCTCAGTGACTCTACCTTCTAAAAAGCTTGCCTGCCTTTATTCAGTACTGAGGGCAAACTCTGAACTCGTTTTCTTTGCTGATAACTGAAAGCTTTGGGATTCTTTAGTGCATTGCACACTTTGGATCACACAGTGATTATTTCGTTTACAGAATGATAAACTTTTCCTTATGAAAATAAAATTCAGGGCCGGAGCTGTGTCTTGGGTTAAACACTGCTCTTTAGCGGACCTGAGTTTGATTCTCTCACACACGGTGGCTTACAACTGTCTTAACTCCAGTTCCAGGAGATTCAGTGTTCTCTTCTGGCCTCTGTAGGCACCAGGCAAGCAAACGGCTCACAGATAAACGTGTAGGCTAAGCAAACCCGCCCCCCTGCCCCCCAAATCACACACACACATTTAAAATTAGATTAGTAGTTGACCATTCACATTGTGATAGCAAAGTGAAAAAAAATATAGTAATGAATATAAACTTTGTTAATACTTTCACATTTATAAAGAGATTTTTGGTGAGACTAGCATTGATGTGCTGGTGTTTTTCTTTTGCAACTTTAATTTGAAATTACAAACTTAGAAAAAAGTTATAAAAACAATACAGAAAAGTTTATATACATGTCAATCATGGTCTCCAAAAGTCCCACATTTGCATTATTGTTGCTTTGACTTTAAATGGTACGTTAAAGTGTTTAAATTACATACATGATGCCCCTTGGTCTCTGAAACTGTCAGCATTTCCTAAAGAAGCGCAATCACCAGAGTCAGGGTTTAACATTCACAGAGTACCATTGCCCAATCTGTAAGCCTGTGCCATGCATCACAGTGGCAGTGGCTACATGTGTTATTTAAACTAATACAATTAAATAGAGATTCAGTCTCTCACACATACTAGCTATGTCTCAACTACCCCATCGTCCAGTGGCTTTTCTATTCTAGAGCACAATTACAGAATGCATCCACCATTAAAGACATGATTTAGACATTCAAATCCTATCAGTCCCCCCACAAACTTCCTTTATATCAAAGAAAAAGTACATTGCATGATCACATTACATTTAGTTATGCTGTCTCTGGAGTATCCTTTAACACATGATTGCTTTTCAGAATTAAGATGTCTTTTTTAGGACATTGTTGTTTTTAGAGTCACATCACGGGCCAGTTATTTCATGAAATGCCCGCCCCCCGGAATACATCAAGCTTACTTTAGTTTCTATGCAATAACATCACATGTGAAGGCCTATGAAATATTTTTCCTAATTACTCTTACTGTCTGGTTTCTCGAGTGAAGTTATAGCAACTATTTTCTTCCTTTAAAGTCAGTATCTTCTGAGGAGCTATGCTCTGTAAACATTGTCTCTGATACTTTCATCTGTGAGGTTTAGTGTCTACTGATATCTTATTTGAAGTAATTATATGGATTTGTGAAATAGTCTTTTTTCCTTTTCTTTTTGGATTTTCAAAAATTAATATAGATTTATAAAACATTTTAAATAGTTGTATATCTTTCACCCAAATTTTTTATTTAATTTATTCTTTTTGAGAATTTTATATATAAAGTTTATATAACTTTCTAGTTCCCTCTCTTCCTTCCAATTCTTTGTATCCCTCCCACTCCTTCTCAAGTTCATGGCTTTTTGTTCTTCAGTTATAATTGTTACACACACTCACACACACACGCGTGCGTGCATGCACAAACACACACATTTTAAATACAATCTTCT